GGCCTGGCCCAGCCCCCATCCGCTCGCAGAGGCCAATGGATGCAGTGGCCGGCTTCTCCCCGCCCCGTCGGCGCACGGTATGAAAGGCGCGGCCCGGGGAAAGTCCGGGCAGAGCCCGAGCCCGGGGACAGCAAGCTGGTTGTCTGCAGGTGGCCTTCCTTCAAGCCCTTCCGAGTAGCGGTGCGTAACCTGGAGCCCTCTCAACACACCTGGCCTGCCACTGCTCCCCGAGCCACACACAACAACATGAACCAGGCTGGCTGGACCGGGAAAAGAACCGACATGCTCCCGGAGATCGCCGCCGCCGTAGGCTTCCTCTCCAGCCTCCTGAGGACTCGGGGCTGCGTGAGTGAGCAGAGACTTAAGGTTTTCAGCGGGGCTCTCCAAGAGGCACTAACAGGTGGGCACGCCCGAGGGTCCTGGCGCCAGTCGAATTGCGCCACCTGGGCTCAGTCCCCTCCCTTCCCGGTGCGCCTTTCTCTGCTTGGTCTGGGTTCCCAACACGAACAGCTCCCGGACTCGGTTTCCCTCTTCCGGTCCCCTGAGCGGCCGTAGCCCCCCACCCCCGAGGTCATGTCTTCCCTCTCCTCTCCTACCTACGCTCGTATCTTGTCCGAGGCGGTTATGGTTGGGCGCGCCCTTCTCGGTTGCTGGGTGAGCAACCCCTTTTCCCAGAGTGTGATCCCGAGTCCTCGGCTTAGGACCCCGAAGAGGGAGTGCCTTGCAAATCTGAGTGCTGGCTCATCTTCGCTGGACTCTTGAGACCCGAAAAGGACGTTGCTGGCCGTAAAGCCTGATGGAGTCCTTACGGGGAGAAGCCAGCACAATTAAACCGTTTCAACGACTTGAAGACCCAGTCCTGGTTCTTCCTGGCCATGCCGTGATGCACTGTGCCTGGACCAGCCTGGGGTGTTGACTTGCCTGAAGTTTGCATCTGGACCCCTTTGTGTCCTTTGGTTGTCCTTAGCCATATTATGGTACCCGAATGAGACTTTTAGCTAGTTGCTCGCTATTCTGTATATTTGAATGTTTTGGGAGGCGGTGTGTTTGAGTCAGGGAGGCTGACAAGAGATAAGCAGACGGCTGGCTGAGAAAGATCTATCTTCCAGCTGTTTGTAGTTGGTTGGCAGCAGTAGTCATCTCTGAAAGTGCCCACACAGATTCTGCCTTGTGAGGAACAACAGATATATTTCAGCAAAACAACCCATCTTTTTTTTACTCCTTTAGCCACTGCTAAGGATCCCTGACTCTTCCGAGGGAGGCAGGGGGAGCTACTTGAGGGCACAGTGGGAGACTCAGTGTCTTGCTGTGGACCCCTACATTGCTGGCCAACTGTGTCACTTTGAAACATCAGCTTACAGGTCTCCGGAGGCCCTGCCCGGACATGCCAGACCTGGTCACACCCCTCCTTCCTGAAAACTAATCATGTGCCAAAAGCAATACACTGGTCACCAGGGTGTGTCCCAGAGCTCTGGGAACCGCCCCCCCCCCCATACAATCTCTCTGTCACACATGTGCACACCTGTCCTGGAAGGGACGGTTTCTCCAGCTCCCATAACGTTTTCTCTGCTAGAATAGCAGGAGAGTTTCAGTTTCAATAGTGTACTGGAATACATCAGAAATGCCTTGCTTACTTAGTTAGCATCACTGGGCTAACTAAGGACAGGAAGGCCTCTCCTCTCTCTTCATCCCTATCCCTACCTTGTGTGGTAGCACCCGTGGTCCAGCTGCTCTAACCAGAATATCTCCTTCTTATCCACTCTCTGCAGAGCACTACAAACATCACTGGTTTCCTGAAAAGCCATCCAAGGGCTCCGGTTACCGCTGCATCCGCATCAACCACAAGATGGACCCCATTATCAGCAAGGTGGCCAGCCAAATCGGACTCAGCCAGCCCCAGCTGCACCAGCTGCTACCCAGCGAGCTGACCCTGTGGGTGGACCCATATGAGGTGTCCTACCGCATTGGGGAAGATGGCTCCATCTGCGTCCTGTATGAAGAGACTCCGGTGGCCACCTCCTATGGGCTGCTCACCTGCAAGAACCAAATGATGCTAGGCCGGAGCAGTCCCTCAAAGAACTACGTGATGGCGGTCTCCAGTTAGATCCCTGCTGCCCCTGCCCTGGCACTCTACTGTACTCATTCTGCCGTGACAACAGGCCACTGCATACCTCAACCTGGGGAACTGTATTTTTAAATGAAGAGCTATTTATATATATATTATTTTTTTTTTTTAAGAAAAGAGGAGGAAAAAAAAAAACAAAAGATTTTTTTTTTTTTTTAAAGAAAAAAATCCTTAAAGGGAGCTGCTTGGAAGTGGCCTCCCCAGGTGCCTTTGGAGAGAACTTTTGTGTGCTTGAGTCTAGGAGCCAGTATTTGCCTTTGGTGGGGTGGGGGGAGTGGTAGCTGGGGGTGAACCCAGCCAAGGTGAAGCGGGAGAGGGAGCAAGCAAGGTTAGCAACTGTGAATGAGAGAGGTCAGGATCTGCCCAGGTGGGAGAAGAGAGGCTCAGTTTGGATGTCTTACTCACCTAACCAGGTCATCTGCATCCCTGGCCTGCTCTTACTCAGGGGCATTCAAGCTTGGGCTTAAATAATAGTATGTTGCCTATCTTATTTTTCTGGTAAGATCCTGGGCGGAGAGTGAAAAGGCCTCTCCTTATTCCTTCTGTCCTAAGCAACTTTTCTTGAAATCATGACTTGTTTCTATATCTATCCTCAGGGGCCTGTAGCTGTTGCTTCCCAGCCATGAATCTAAAGCTTTCTTTGTTTATTTGTTTTGTTTTGGGGGTGAGATTTGAGAAGCAAGGCATGGGTTGGAGGTTATCGGATGAAGGACGGAAGGGCTCTCTGCACAGTACTTTTGCTTTGCTATATGCTGCTCTGTATGGGAGTATGTGGGTGAATAATTTGGGGCTGATTTGCAATGGAATTTTGGGACCCAAAGAGTATCCATTAGGGATGTTTTTTGGCCAAACTCTCTTAGAACCACACGAAAGTCCTGATGCTGCTGCTATTATCCTTTTAAGAGGTGACTCAAAAGCTACAGGGAACTCCAGGTCCTTTACGACTGCCTTCTTTTCAAAAGCAAAACAGTCTTCCTCTCTAACCCTCCCCTTCCTTCTCCTCTTCTGTCTGGGTCATGGAACTACCCTGTATTCTAGGACAAGAGTTCTCAGTCACTGTGCAATATGGCCTCCAAAGTCTCAGGAGGGTCGAAGAGAACTGGCTCTCAGAGCCTCCTGGGACCCTGGCTTTGGGAACCATCTCTCCTGCTGTCCTGAGAACTCTGGCTGGTTGGTCTGCCTTGCAGGTAGTCTTTGGCTGAGGGGGAGAGTGCCCCAAATTTGGCAGGACTGCTTGGTACTCCCTCAGGGCTGACACTAAACGCCAAACCTTGGGCATTGTTTTTTCTGTCTGGTGCTGAGAGCACCTGTGGAAGAGGCTGCGTCCTCTCAGTGTGATCCAAATTTGTCTGTAGACTTGTGCAATATTTACTGTTGTGGGTTGGAGAAAAATGGCAAACTTCACTGGGAAGAAATCCCTACCTGCAGTTTCTCAGTGACGTTGATGAGGGGTTCTCAGAAGGCCTTGAGTTTCCCAGACCGAATCACCTTAAGAAGGACGCAGCTAGAGCATCTGGTCAGCTTGGCTACTTCCCTCCTGTTGCCTTTCATGAGGAATCTTCCCTCCCTGCTGCCCCCACCTCCATGTTCCCCTCCACATCCAGTCCCCTGTCCTGGATTTCTGAACTGCCCAATTCTGATTCAAAAAGGTGCTATTTATCAGACACTCCAAGCCTTCCCTGCCAGTTCTGCCTCTTCAACTCTCCCCCCAGGCCCTGTTTCCAGTCCTTACTGCTTTAAAGTTCTCTTTAGCACACAGACCTGAGAGCTGATTTGCTGGTCTGTGGGTTGAAACAAAAGCTGTGAATCACTGCACACTGTGGTCTTGTTTCTTGTCTGCAAACAGGTCCCTGCCTTTTTAGAAGCAGCCTCATGGTCTCATGCTTACTCTTTTCTCTCTTCTTTTTATATTCACTTTAAAAACAACAAAAAAACCCAGAGCTGGACTGTTGAGCAGGCCTGTCTCTCATATTAAGTAAAAGTAATGGTAGTATGTTCATAAGCTATTCTGACAGAAAAGACAAAGGTTACTAATTGTATAGTAGTGTTTTTATATGGAAGAATGTACAGCTTTATGGACAAACGTACATTTTTTTTGTTACTTTAATAAAAATGTAGCAGATGAAAATGTGTGGTGTAAACCCAAAAACCAAACCCACTGCTATCGAGTCCTTTCTGACTCCTAGTGACCCCATTAAGTTTCCAAGGTGGTAAATCTTTACAAAAGTAGATTGCCTCTTCTTGCTTCCATGGAGCAGCTGGTGGGTTTGAACCACCAACCCTCTGGTTAGCAGTCAAATGCCTTAGGTGCTATACCACCAGAGCTCCTTTCAACCCTATATAGAGAAAGTAAAATTCCCAGGTCACTAATTTGCATTTCCCTCTCAGATCCAAGTCCCTTTTTGTGTGTGTCTAATACTTCTCTTCAATCACAAGACCTATAGCATGTGGTTGGTATAAAAGAAAAATCTAGTGTGGCTGGGCTGTTTCTAAGCATCCCTCTTCCTTCCCTGTGGGACCTACTTCCTCTCATGTCTATACTAACAGCTCCCTGTGAAAATGCTACAAATGAAAGAGTTCTATCTTGAACATGCCCTAGTCTAGCCAAGTATCCTTACACATCCTGTTCTTGCTGGGCCAGTTTTATTCATTCATTCACTGTCATCCAACAAGTATTTTCAGTAAGTGAAAGGCACTGGAAATATTCAAAAAGATTAAGACACAGCCTGCTCTCTTCATAGTGCAGGGTGGTGAGGAGAGGACACTGAACTCTTGCAGCCTGAGGCAGAGTTGTTTGGAAGTTTGTGGTAAAGACTTTCTTGCTATCTCTGGGACTGCATTCACTACCTGCCATTTTTGTCTTATTACCCATGAGTAGCTGGGCCTCAGAAACTATGCACTGGCTGAATGCCACAAGTTAGCCAAAGACCATCTCTACTTCTGGCAGCAAACACTGGTGTGAGAGCCAGAGATTTGGTACCAATTTATAACTCCCTTTGGCTATGTGGATAGAATCTACACAAGGAAATAACATTCTTTACCACCCCCAACTCTTGGTTCTTTCCATGATGTTTTGACTCAAACTTCCTACTCCCACCCCACCTGCTGGCTCAGCAGTTTCCACTGGGAGTCACAAGTATATTTTTGACCAGGGTGAATTTTTCTCTTGGCCATAATGGGCTGTATTAAAATTTTAAGCATGTTGCCTCTTGAACAGTGGAACCATCCTGCCCCCACTTCATTTCATACCTTACCTCCATGATACTAGTGGTCAAACATGCAGCTTGTCTTAGCTCTGAGGGAGGCCAGGAAGAACAGTGTGTGGAATGTTTGTATGAGAAAGGATAGGTGAGCTGGGGAAAGGGGAGACCAGCTCATCTGTATCATAAGTAGAATTTTTTACTGGGACCTGCTTGTGTCCAGAGGCTGTTAGTTAAAGGGATGGTCCCAATTTATCCCATTTTCATTTGTAGCCTCTAATATGAATGTCTTAAGAACTCATTTACAAGGACCTACTCTTTTAGGGATGTAAGGACAGGGTTAGGGTTGAGGAATTTTTGTCCATCCTAGGAGGAGCTGTGGGAGCTCTGGTAGCATAGTGGCTAAGACATTTGCCTGCTAACCAGACAGCTGGCGGTTCAAACCCACCAGCCACTCCTTGGAAGGAAGGTTGGGCAATCCTACTTCCGCACACAACAACAACAACAAAGGAGGAGCTGTGGTAGCATAGTGCCTAAGGCACTTGACTGCTAACCAGAAGGCTGGCAGTTAAAACCCACCAGCCACTCCTCAGAAGGAAGGTTGGCCAATCTACTTCTGTAGTGATACCACCTTGGAAACCCAAGGAGCAGTCACTGAGTCGGGTCTGACTCAATGGCACATAATAATAGTGTGCTATGCTCTCTTGGACATTCAGTACAAAGTCAGCATCTATCTTCTTGTTCCGTAAGGTCTCATTCACAGAGGATATTTTGTTGTTCAGTGTAAAGACTGAAATTAAGGGAAAGTTGCTTGGGGACTGAGATGACACCCCCAACCCACCTCTATGTCTTCAAGCCAGGGGAACCACAGACTGGCAGATTCATCTGGGGGGTGCTCTTAGCTCTTGGTAGATTAATATTCCATCAATTCACATGAGAAGGTTCTGTGATCAAGTGAGGTGTTGCTTAGAGCTGGTCACTTTCAGTAGGAGTGAGGGGGTACCCCTTGGCCTGGCTAGGGGTACAGGGGGCTCTGGTTTGGAATGCTTGAGTTGAAATAGGTGGCTTTCATGTGTTGAGGGACCAAGCATTGCTTGGTGGTGTCTGTTCCAGCTTCCCTACATGGTAAACAGTGGGGAGACCTGTGCTTGGTCAGCTGTTTTGGAGTGATAATGCACCTCCCAGAGAATGTAGACAAGGCCTGGGAACTATAGATAAAGAGTCCATCCTGGATCCTGATAAGGAGGTTTGGGTGGGGGAGTCCTTGATGCCACAACAAATAAGCACCGGGGGAGGAAACTCATTGCTCTGGGGACTGACATCTGCCCCTAGAGCAGCCTTTGGTAAGGAAAGATAGTGAAGACTCAAGTGTCTGGGCTTCCAGGACAGTGCTGGCATCCTGGCCCAACAAAACATGGTATTGCAAAAAGAGCTCTGGGCTTGGAGGAAGAATAGATGGGTGGTGGCGGTCCTGGTTCTTCTTGCTAACTAACTGTGAGTTTGGGCAGGCCTGGTGGGCTTATCCTGCCTGAAGCAGCTATTGTTGTTAGCTGCCATTGAGTTAACTCCAGGCTACCCTGTGCACAACTGGGTGAAATGCTGCCTGGTCCATTCCAGCCCCGTGATCCATGGCGAATCAGAGCGTTGTGCTCCATAGAGTTTTCATTGACTGATTTTTGGAAGTAGATCACCAGACCTTTCTTCCTAGACTATCTTAGTCTGGAAGCTCTGCCAAAACTTGTTCAGCACCATAGCAACATGCAGGCTTCCACTGCTATATGGGTACTCCAAAACCAAACTCACTGCCATAGATTCAAATCCAACTCATAGTGACCCCTCCTTGGGTTTCCGAGGCGGTATCACTACCAGAAGTAGATTGCCCTATCTTCCTTCCGAGGAGTGGCTGGTGGGTTTGAACCACCAGCCTTCTGGTTAGTGGTCAAATGCCTTAGGGACTACGCCACCAGAGCGCCCTCCTTTATGGGTTGTTGTTGTTGTTGTTATGTGCCGTCAAGTCAGCCCTGACTCATAGCGACCCCTCCTTGGGTTTCCGAGGC